GTATTTCGTCCTTATGTAGGAAAAGTGCCTGCGCCGGCCCAGCCAGTCCCGACTGCGGCATTAAAAACACCCCGGGGAGGGGGGGAGATGGGAGACACCCCCTCCCCAACACCCCCACAGGGTCACCCATGGCACCGCTCACGGCCCCCCAAAACATTCGGGGACAGTCCCGTCCTCACTGACAGCCCCACACATCGTTCCCACACGTGTCCTGAGTTGGTCAGTGCTCTGCCGGGAACGCGGCGCCGCTCAGAGCCCACAGGCAACGTGCCGGGGAAAACTAATTAAGCCGGCCTTGCCAATTAGTGTGAGTGAGCGGCTCAGGACTTTCTAATTAGTTTAAATTTCACAGGACTGTTTTCCAAATGACTCTCCAGGAGCCGCTCTCAGCCCAGCGACCCGAGGACGGCCACCGGGCCAGCTTTCGCAGCCAGGACGTGACCTTCCCCGCTCCTCCACCCGGATCCGACCCCGTGCAGGACCCAGACGTGCCGCAGGGCATCAGTTACGCCCGGCGAGAGCCGCCGCCACCGGCACCCTGAGAACGAGCAACTCATTACACTGAACAGGGAACTCCTTGTAGGACAGCTCTGGGGTAAGCAGCAAAAACCCACCGTGACGGGGAAAATAAAGCTCAGCCCAGTGCAGGGGGATGGCTGCAGCGCAGCCGGACCAGCATCAATCCCAAAAACACCCCGAGTCATGGGGTGCCCCCGGTTTTGGGGTGCTCCCCAGGGGAGGAGAGCAGAGCAGCCCCAGCCATCCACACCCACGCACCCCGACACCTTTACAAGCAGCTGATTTAAAACCGGCTGCCTTTTATTTTTAGTGGAGGACATCTGATTATGTCCTGCGCTGCCTTTTTACATTGCCCGGTACCCTGACTATTTCTGTACGGCTGTTTACATCCGCCGGCGCCAGTGCCGCCCGGTGAAGGTGCCGCTGGCCAAGGCGAGCGCCGAGCATCCTGCCCTACAACAGAAAACCTCCCCCGATTCCCGCAGGCTCCCGGCAATGTGTTCCCCCAAAAGCAAACGGCACCGGGGACAAGCACGAGTGGATTTACCCTGTGCCGTCTCCGCTTGCTCTGGTTAAGCAGAAAATTCAGCGCTGTGTGCCGAGAAAGTAGCCGGTGCAGCGGGATGATGCTCGGAGCCCGGGGATTTTGCTTTGGGCTCCCTGATTTTTGGAGGATGCACACTCAGGCCGGCACTGGAGGACAACCAGAAAGCAGCCGGAGGGGTTTGCTACAGCCCCATAAACACCAGTTCCTGGGGGGATTCTGAGCCTCCAGGGAAGGCGAGGTCCATCCCTGCGGGTCCAGGCTGGGATTTTGCTCCCAGGTGGAGGAGTTTAACCTGTTTCCCAGCCCCGGGACAAACGCAGCCCCGCAGAACCTGGTTTTAGGATGGGCAGTGGAGAAGGTTCCAACCCCACAGCCTCTTCCCTCGTCCGTCCGTCCCTCTCGCACCCCTTCCCCGCACCTTTTCTCCCTCCCCGAGCGGGGCCGATGCCAGCGAGGTGTTAGAGCCCGGCTGGACCGCCAGCCGTGCCGGGGAGGAGGATTATTTACCGGGCAAAAAGCCACCACCTACACAATGCCACCCGCTCCCGGGGGGATTAGGTGACCATTCAGGAGCTGCTTTGACTTAATCTCTGAGCAAACAAACCGATCCCCAGGATATTTTCTTTATTCTACAAGCGGAATTCAAGGGCTGCATCTCACC